AAGATTCCACGTGCAAATTCTTAAACAAATTTAAATTGTTTGACTCTCGAAAAATGAAAAGTGCCACATAAATTGAAACTAAGAAAGTATTAGAAAGCCAAAATATAAAAAATCAAATACACAAAAAATAAAAAATAAAATAATATTATATATATATATATATATATATATTAACTATTAATTATATTTAATTTATAATTTAATTTTTCACTAACAAGATTCAGCTGAAAGAATTTAAAATATATGAATCTCCATGAATTTTAAATCTCAGCACATTAGTAGAGGCTCATTATTCTAAAGTCTATAAACTTTTACTTGGTAGTTGTGCAATTTCAGCAGGAGATCAAATAAATTTCTTAGAACCAGCCAGGTTCCATCGATTATTCTAAATATGAAGTATTTTCTTATTTTTAAAATAATTAAGTACAGTATAATTTGATAAAAATTGAACATATATATATATATGAAAATTTTCTGATTCCTCTAACAATTGCTAATAATTCCTTTTCATTAGTGGAATATCTTGTTTCTGCATCATTAAAAGTACCACTTGTGTACCTGCAAATTTCATTTAAATCGGTTTGCAATAATGCTCCCCAATGATAATCAGATGCGTCAGTTTGTAAAACTAGATTATCGCTATCTTCTGGTAATCTTAGTTTTGACAATTTTGCACATTCTTCTTTTAGACTTTTGATACACTGTGTGTGTTCTTCTGTCCATCCAAGTCTATTGGATTTTCTGATCAATTTTTGTAGTATATTCCCTTTTTTTGCTAAATTCGGAATAAATTCTCCTGCGTAATTTAAACAACCCAGAAATTTTTGGATTTCTTGTTTTGTTGTTAATTTGTCAGGAAATTCTACTATCTTTTTTGATATGTGTGATTGGAGTTCAATTCCATTTTTTGAAATAATCATTCCTAAGAATTCTATTTCATTTTTGTTTATATCAGCTTTCTTCTGACTTAAAACTATTCCATTTTTCAAACAAATTTCTGAAAATTCTTTTAGGTGTTTTAAATGTTCTTCATATGTTTTAGAACATATTAAGATATCATCTATATAGACAATTAGGAATTCCTTTTCAGAGAATATTTTATCCATTTTTCTTTGGAATATTTGTGGTGCATTCTTTAGCCCAAAAGGCATGACCAACCACTCATAATGTCCATTAGGAGTGCTAAAAGCAGTTAATTGAATAGAGTCTTCTGCCAATTTTATTTGCCAAAATCCACTTTTACAGTCAAATTTTGAGAAATATGTTTTTCCTTTTGCAAGGTTTATCAAATTATTTTTATTTGAGATAAAATATCCATCAAACAAACAATTTTTATTTAGCTCTTTATAGTTTATTACCATTCGAGCCTTACCTCTTTTTATCTCA